CCATGCCATGCCATGCCATCACCCCGTGACTAACAAAGTGTGTTCTGCACCTTTCCCCGTCCTGCCGTGGCTGTGCCGCGATGGGGGGGTTGGTGCAGCCCCGTCCCACCATTTCCTGCCCCACCCACCACCCGTTCTTTTCTCCCCCTCTCATAGTGCGGACGCAGTGCTGAAAACTTCGACCGGTTTTTCACTCGCCATCCACCCGTGCTAACACCTCCCGACCAGGAAGTCATCAGGAACATTGACCAGTCAGAATTTGAAGGATTTTCCTTTGTTAACTCTGAGTTTTTTATGCCTGAAGCCAAGAGCTAAGTAGCTGTGTAGATCTCATCCCCACATCCATCATCCAGTCCCAGCTGCTGTTGTGGAGACATTTTCCACTGCGAAACTTGCATCCATGGATTTTCTCCAGTCCCTTACTAGAGTGACCATACTTCAAAGCCAGAAGTGTCTTCCTGTGATTTGGGGTGTCCCTGGATGGGGGGTGAAGTACAGCAAATGCTGCAAATGGTCTTTTGTGATGTTTTTTTTTTGGTAGAAAATGGGAGCAGTTCAGTGGGTGATGGAAGGAAAACAGAGACACAGTGACAATTGGGAGAAATCCCTTCGTCATGTGTTTTAATTCCTGCTCTTTCGTTTTTCTAGTCTTTTAATATAATCATGAAAATTTCATATTTAGCCTTCTTAGCCTTAGTGGCAAGTAAGTGTTTTTAATGAAACTTTTCCCCAGAGCCTTTCAGCTCCTCCTAAAACCTCTGGAGAGCCAAGATGCTGATTCTGGCTCCTTTTTTAGCTGTGTCCTGCTGTCTGTCGAGCCCTACCACAGCTCCCCTTCCCTCCAAAGATGCTTTGGGATGGCATGTTCCCAGTGCTGGGTCCCCAGCAATGAGATAAGTTATTCAGGAAGGCAGAGCTGCTGTTGGCAAAGATTTCTTCTGATTGTGCAGTTCCTAAGTGATTATTTTTTTATCAAAACATACAATATCCAGTGCTAAGTGAGAAATTGGGAAGAGCTACTTTTGAACCCATGGTCACCCTAGTAAACACCACCAACACCGGTTCTATAGTGAAGTTTCTTCTTCTTTTCAAATGCCAAAGCAACTGATGGAGTTTGTTACCTGGGCTTTAAATGTGTCAAAAAATGGTATTAACCCAAACGGGACCTATTTAACTCTGACCAGTATTGTGAATTCTGATATGAGCCTTGTAAAGAAACTTGTTTCAACTCTTAGTCCTACTCTTAAAAATTGCCGCTAGATATTTAAATGGCCTCATTTAAATGTTTTGTTTCTGGCCTCAAAGGAAGCGTTTCAGGAAGGGTGAATGTCTCTTGAAACAACAACAGTCACACCACTTCCTTCTATGCCCTTGCAGATGTTTGTGGGCTGTCACTGTATCAATCTGCTTTGACTTGTAATGTGCCAATTTTTTTTTTCTGATACTGATTATAAAATAAAAAGTGAGAAACTGTGTCCAAGAAACCTGCATGTGTTTGGCAATAATGAGTTTCTGCAGCTCAGTGGGGCGATTCCAGGAGTTGAGGCTGCACCGCTCCGAGGGCTGGAAGGTTCTCTGGATGCAGGGGGATGCCGGCTCAGGAACAGCACTGGCAGCACTGGAGCCATGGCCTGCTCTTCCTCTGCAGCGTTTGTCCCAAAAGAACGGAGGTGGGATGTGCTGGAAGCATCGTCCGAGCAGGCAGTGATTGTCCACAGCCCCTGCACCAGCCCCTGCTGCGCAGCGATGACCCAGCTCACTCATGCCTCTCCAGCATGGACAGGGAAGGAGTTCCTCTGGGATGACCCTTGGAGGAAGGACGATCTGGAGTGGAGGATGGCAGAGCTCTGCCGCTTGGGAATCTCTTCCAGCACCGTAAGCGGAGCCGACTGCGGCATCGCCTCGGATTTCTGGAGACTGCAGAGGCGAGCGCCCGGCGTGTGCCGGTGACTCATCCCTGCCCCGCTCTCCCAGGAGCAGTTGTTCAAAGCAATTGGCAGTTTCAGCTAAAGAGGGATTACAGGTCCCTGTTAACCTCCCTCCTGAGTGCCTCCTGCCTTTGGGATTCTGCTTCTGCCAAGTTCTGCGGGTCTGGACACTGCGAGATTGTTCCGAACGGCACCGAACGGCGGCACCGACAGCACCGGCAGGAGCTGATCCCTGACCCCTCCACTCAGGCATCCCCAGAGCTCTGCCATGGGGAAGGGGCTCAGTGGCAGTGGATGGGGAGGATTCCCATCCCTGTGGTCCAGGCAGAAACACTGCTCTGGGCCAGCCGTGCCCTGGACAGTGGGAGCCAGGGTGTCCCGCTGTGCTCCCCATCACCTCCCAAAGTCAATTCACCTGTTGCTGGAGGCACTTTCAGCCCTGAGTGTCCCTTGCCCTCCCCCCTCTCCGTAGCAGATCCATGCAGCCATTCCGTGCCTGTTTTCAGGCTGTTCATCATCTCGACAGAAGCCAAATTGCCACCAATTCAGACAAAATTCAAGGTAAGAAACCAGCAAACCCCACATTGCTGAACTCAGAGCTTCCCAGCCAAGCCCCCAAGGACTGGGGGACTGCTGGAGGGGCAGTGCAGGGGGTGGGCTGCCCTGAGCCCCCTCCAGGGCACGTCACTGCCTTTGCTAGAGCTTTCTGCTGCCAAAAAGCAGCAGGAGGAGGTTTTTCTCACCCCAGGGCCCCCAGGCTGAGCATTCTGGAGGGCTGGGGGACCATGGTGGCAACTTGCACCAGTGGCAGATGTAGATGTGTCATTCCCCTTTGCAGCATCCCACAGCATTCCTCCTGAGGAGAAGCTCCCGGCTCGGTAGGATGGTGGTATCCTGGCACACCTTGGTTTGGATGGATGTGGCCTTCAGGAACCATTTGGTCAGTTCATCATCCCTCTGGGAATGGGGCAGGAGCCCCATCAGCTTCCTGTGCACGTGCTGGGGTGCAGGAGAGACTCTGTGCCCACCCTCTCTGCAGCGAAGGGCAGCACCTTCCATGGACCAGCCAGCTCCTTGTCCCTGGGGGAACCCTGCTGCCATCAAGGTGGGCTTGTCCTCGCGTTTCAGCTGCTTCACCCTTTGCCTGCAGAACTCTGCACCTGAAATCGGCTCCTTCACCCTGTCTGCCCCTCCCTGCTCCTGCTCTGTGCCCCCAGATCTGCAACTTCTTCCTTCTCTGTGCTGGAGTGGAGCCCTGGAGTGACTCTGATGGCTCAGGGACAGTTGGGACCTGCAGACAGCGGTGCCCTGAGCTTCGCCACGTGTTCAAGTCCTGATGGCACAGCCACGTCCTGGCTCTTCTGGCTTTTCTCTCTTTGCTCACTGAGCTCCATCCAGCCCTGTTTTTCTTCCCACCTCGTCTCCTCTCCATCATCATCCCTGCCTCTCCCTGATCCTCCTCCCACAAGGCTGAAGCCATCCTGCTGGGATGTCTCCGGTGACGAGTGGGGTCTCCAAGCACCCCTGTAGGTCCTGGTCCATTGCCAGCTCATCTCCCAAGGTTCCATCTGACTGCAGCTCTGGTGTGGTGCTCCTTGCCTGTCGGGGCTGGCAGGAGAACCTCTCTCTGTGCCGTGTCCTGCTCAAGGCATGCCAGGCCATGCTCCTGCTCAAGGCATGAAGATGCCAATGGCTCTGCCCTAAAGTCCTGGGACAGTGGCAGCTGCTGGGACGAGAGGGGCTACAGGGAGGACACAGCATCTCACCTGCCAGGTCCTTCACCAGGACAGTAGCAGGAGGTGAAGGGAGCAGGGTGGGATGTGGGACCTGCAGGACCCCCACAGTTCTTTCTCTCGATATGAGCTGACAGATTATCCCAGGGCTGGAAATCCTGGTGCAGCAAAGCAGGGCCCCCTGCAAAGGCAAAGTCTGGGAAAAAGTAAAAACAAATATCACATTGCAGGTTTCTGCAAGGCACCAAATTTGTGACAGGGTCCTGCTGGTGTCACAGCAGGGCAAGGTCACCTTCAGCACAATGTTGGGGCCTCTCTTACACAGAGATACGGAAGAAGGGATGGGGAAGGTCTTTTGTCCCTGTTGGCTTTAGTAATGGGGCAAAGCAGAGCCAGTTTCCTGGCTGCCCATGTCCCCCCACCTCCCACTGCTGTGGATGAAGGACCCTGGGTGCTTGTTCTGTACCTTCAGTGCTCAGTCACCCCTTCAGCCACAGCCCTGTCACCTCCCCCAGCGGGACACCCCTGAGCCAGGCGGTGTCTGATCCACACGGGTTTAGAAAAGCAGCCCACGCGCTCCCAGCGCCGGCTCCGCAGTGCTGATAGCAGGTTCCCAGCGCTAATCCTGACACTAACGTCCTTTTTTTTCCCTTTTTTGGCTTGGGTGTAGCTGCAAAGTGGTTCTTCTTATGAAATTAAAAGGAGAAAAGGTTGCCTATGTGGAATTTTCCTTCTTGGAGGTTTTGAAGTGCTGTGTGTTTTCTCTGTACAACCCTGGAGCAAATCACATCCTCCATCAATGAACCAGTGGTGGTTAACACCGTATCATGACATCATTCAAAAACCGAGCTTAAAGCAGAAAGAGCTCTTACAGCTGATTATTTTGTTTAAATTTTAACATCATATTGATTGTTTTGAGGCATGTTGCTTCCTCCAGGCTCCTTCCTCCTATGCAGTGCCAAGCTCTGGTTGCAGCAGGGGTTCTGCATGCTAAGAACTGCTCTGTGCTCTCTCTCACAGTGAACAGCAGAGGAGAGGTGCTCCCTCCCCACCACCCTCAGCTCTTGTGTGTCCCTTTATGTCCTGGTTGTGTGTTCCAGGCCTGTTAAACTGGTGTTCTCTTCTTGCTGGTGGTGTGGGGCTGCTTCTTTTGTACAGGGCCGTGAGTTCCTCATCGGTGGCAGCTTGAGAACTGGTGTGGAATGTGGAGTGCTGGGGGCAGCACGGCTCCCTTGGCTGTGCCCCCCTGGGTGCTGCCACTCCCCCTGGGTGCTGCCACGCTCTCTTGCTCGCTGGCTCGCCCCTTTCCCAGCTTAACTCTCTGCTTTCCGTTTAACAGAAAGACAAGCGTGACACTTCCAACTTCGACAAAGAGTTCACCCGGCAGCCAGTGGAGCTCACGCCCACGGACAAACTCTTCATCATGAACTTGGACCAGAACGAGTTTGCTGGATTCTCCTACACTAACCCCGAGTTTGTCATTAACGTGTAGTCGCGGCGCAGCCCTCTCCTCGCTGTCCCAGCTCCAGGTCGCCTTGTACATACCGACACTAGTCTTCCGGGATTAGCAGTGCAGACACACATTCCCTCCCGCCAAACACGCCGACCGCTTCTCCTAGGAGGCCTCTCCATGTCCGTGCCACTCGCTAGCTTGGTTTCCCTAGCCGGAGGTGTCCGGGGTGCCAGTTACCGATCAGTGATACTTCTAGGAACTATAGTTGGTGGTGACTAATAGAGTTTTCAAACAGAAATATACCAAATTGCTACAGTCTCTGTAATTTTTGCAGTGGAATGCTGAGATCCCAGTGACCCAGCTACTCCCAAAGCGTTGCTGTGGAATGCTAAGCATGGTTGATCGCTTAAAGCGTTGTGCTGAAGCTTGCAATGAGTGTGAGCTTGTCTTAGAGGAGCCTTTTGTTCAAGACATGGATACATTTGATCAGTGTGGAAAAATCTGCTTGTAGACCTATATTTTTCAATGCATTGTCGATAGGGTCAGCCCGGCTCCCTGGAGTGTCCTCCCCCACCATCCGCCTTCCCCATGCCCGGGCATTACCACTCCAAACCAATCCCATGCCAGTTCTTGTAAATCAGAGCAAATCTTTTTCTAAGTGAAAGGTGGGATTTTTTTTGTAACATCTGGAACAGTTTGCAGTTTTGATACGCTCTGTCAGCACTCGCATAAATCTTTCACAGACACTGTCGAGATGTAACAGCTCTGTAAAGGATATTAATATTCTACCAAAACAGAACACATTTATATTCTCAGTTTACAATTTACCAACTGAAAACACGCCCAAGACCAAAGGGCTGCACTGAGGGCTATTTATAATGGAAACTTTTCTACTTTACACCCTCTGCTATTCTCTTCCAGGCTCCAAACCCATGGATTTCACAGGCATCTTGATTTCCCTGATTTCCACCAAAATTCCTGGGGGTTTTAGTCAGTAATCCAGGATCTTCTGCATCATTTAAAAAAAAAAAAAAAAGAATGAGAAGAGACAATTTCAGCAGCTGTTTGTGAGGCAGAGCCGTGGTGTGCAGGAGGGCAGGGGTGGGCAGGAGGAGGCAGGGGTGAGCAGGGGCTGGAAGGAGGGGACAACAACAGGCAGGAGAGGGCAGGTGGAGGCAGGAGCAGGCAGGTGAGGGAAGGAGTAGGCAGGGGCAGGCAGGAGGGGACAAGGGCAAGCAGGAGGGGGCAGGAGCAGGCAGGTGTGGGCAGGGACAGGAGCAAGAGCAGGCAGGTGGAGGAAGAAGCAGGCAGGGAAGGGCAGGAGTGGACAGGCAGGAGCAAGGGCAGGCAGATGAGGGCAGGAGTGGGCAGGGGTGGGTAGAAGGGAGCAGGCAGGAGTGGGCAGGGGTGGTCAGGGACAGACAGATAAGGGCAGGAGTGGGCAGGGGCAGGCAGGGCTGCCCACGGGAAGCTGGGCAGTGGCTCTGGCTGTTGGGCACACAGAGGGCTCTGGGTCCCCGTCCCCACTCCCATCACAGCCCCGTCTGGCTGGTTTGCAGAACCCCCTGTGTGTGTTTTCTGAACCAGCACCGGTTCTGCTGTGTGTAGCTGTTCCTCCATGTCATGGGGAAATGGAGTGGGATTTTATCAGTCAGGAGGAGTGCTAGAGAGGAAATTCTGGTTGTAGATCTTTTATAAACATCAAGCTATACCTTTGGAAATTTTCTTCTTCTTTTGATGATTCCTTGAGAACAAAAGGCTGCCAGCAGCGAAGCCGCTGTGCCGGTGCCGGGGGTGGATGGGTGTCCCCGCTCCGTTACCCAGCCACGGGCACTGTCCTGTGCCGGTGCCGGGGGTGGATGGGTGTCCCCGCTCCGTTACCCAGCCACGGGCACTGTCCTGTGCCTGCTGGGGCGTGAGCTGAGCCCACGGCCTCGGGTCCTGCCCTGGGCTGGAGGAAACCAAACCAAACCCAGAAAAACTGCAAATTGTGCCAGATGGAGGAGGGTGTTGATGAGAGGCCCAGGCAGGCCAGGGGGCTGGTGGCCGGTGAGAGCTCCCGTGAGCCCCCCACGCGTTCCCGAGGACGCCGCGCCATCCTCTGCAGACCACAGCTGATGTCAGAGCATGTGCGTTACTGTGACCTTCCAACCTGTTGCTGCAGAATTAGTATTACTTCAGTGGTGAATGTTTTTAATTTCCCCGTCTTCGGCTCTGAAGGCACTCCCAGGTCTGTCCAGGATGCTGCTGGAGGGTCTCCGGGGCTGAGGGGCACCCCGGGGCCGTGGGCACTGCAGGGGCTGCTGCGGGGGGAGTCACGTCTTTTCTGTTTGGCACTTGTGTGTCTGTGTTGGGGTGACACTTGTGCGTGGAGCAGGCGTTGCTGGATTCTGAACAAACTGGGTGGCCCTGGAGGGGACTGCAGGGAAGCCGGGGCTGGCACCAGGCAGCCCGGGTGGCAGCTTTGGGACTGAGATCCACGTTCTAGGGAGAGTTTGGCAAAGGCTGGGTCCTCTTCGCAGGACTCACACCTTCAGTATTCCTGACACTGTCCGTTCTGCCGCTCGCCAAACTCTTATTTCAAGGTTTATTTCCAGATGACCTGTTTCTTCTGTGGAGAAACGTGTAATGGGATGTGTCTGGCCCTGCACAGACGCTCAGATCTGTGTGGACTCCTCCAAGGGAGGGCAGGGTGACAGGGGTTGAGTCACTGTTTACTGTAATTTGATGATTTAATCTTCACTATTGGATGGGGAAAGCAGAGCTGCAGGAGGATGCTCAGAGCTGAGTTGCAGGAGAGCCCCATTCACCAATCCCCAGGTGCTCTAATGATGGAGAAAGCCCAGGAAATCCATACCAATAAATCCCATGGTGCCCCCACTGCTGTGTGTCAGAGCAGTGCTGGGGACCAGGGGACAGTGTGAGGCAGGAGAAGGATGCTCATGGGGGACAGAGGTGGCACCTCAGCCCGCTGATGCAGGGGGGGCTTGCAGGGTGCCCCTGGGCAGTTGCTGCTGCTGGGGGAGCGGGTGCAGGTGTGGTGTCCCTCCTGGATGCAGTGGGACTGGCAGGGTCCCGCAGGGGCAGAGGGGGAGGGCTGAGGAGGCAGGACATGCACTCACCACACTGCAAAGGATGGCAAGTCCTGACTTTGTGCAAGGCTGGGTTACAGCTTAGTGCTGCAGGTAAGTGGGGTTCAGGCTCTCAGGTGGTTTCCCTGGGACGGGATGGGTCAGACAGCTCCCCCTGGGCTGCTGGCTGGTGGCTGCTCCGTTCACAGAACCTGCCCTACTCCTGCTCCCAGTGGGGCTCTGTTTGCATGTGGCTGGGGACCTGCTGCTGCCCTTCCCTGCCCTGGCTGGAGCTCTGAGCAGCCTTCTCATGCTGAGACCCATCACCCAAGGAGTTATCGACTGATTTAATCCATTTAATAAATAAATGCGAGTTTGCACAGTGGCCAACCCATGGAGACAGAGAGCCTCAGGGGTGGAAGATGAGCAAGCACAGGGCAGTCGATGTGCTCTGATGATTGTGAATCCCAGAGCTCTGATCTAAGGGAAGAACCAGGGGAGTTCTAGGACAGAACAGAAGGATCAAGCTGTTCCAAAGGTTAGGATTGCACCTGGAGGGTGGAACTCGCTCCCACTGCTGAGTTCTGTGACTTGCCCACGGTGGCAGGAGCAGGTGAGCCTGTCTGACCACACGCCTCTGGCTCCATGCATGGAAGTGTCACCTGAGCTGTTTATTTCTGATCACATTCAAAGTGGCAATTAAAACAAGAAAAAAAAAAAGAAAAAAAAATGTTTATTGTTGAACAGTTTGTGTTTGTGAATTTGATTTCACCTGCAAGTATTTGATGACTTTTCTACATCCTAGACTACCTGCTGTGTGTTGTCAAACGGTTCTCATTAAGACCTCCTTTTAGATGGGCATATACTCTTGATTCGATTTGCTGCATGTATGAAAAAATAAAATATATAATTTTAAAGAAACCTCGAGAGCTTTGCTTCTTTGCCCATGAGCCTCCAGGGGCAAGCCAGGGGCTGGGCACGCCCGGGGGTCCCAGCTGTCAGCCGGGGATCTGGGGGCTTGGGGTCACCCAGAGGGGCAGGGTGAGTGCATGTCACAACCCTGGCACAGCAGGAAATGCTGAGAAGTTGTAGGGGTTTGGTCAAAAAGCTGCATATCTGCACATCTGGAGAGTATCAGCTGATGAAGGGTCCCAGAGTGGAGACCTTCAGCTGCGCTCCAGGGTCCAGATGGACCAGTGGGGAGCAGGGGAAGGTGCAGGTTGTTTGCACCTTCTGTTAATTGCTAATGAAGGGGTTAGTAATGCTGCTGCAGGAGCTCTTCCCACCACCTGTGAGTGCTGGTTCCCAGGCTCTGTAGCTGGTGCAGGGCTGTGGGGCTGAGCTGGTGGCACTGGGGTTTGGGTGCCGGGCAGCCCCTCTGTGGGCACCATGCCTGGCAGTGAGGTCAGGGGGCAGCAGGTGAGGGGGGTGTTCAGGGCTCTGAAGAGCTGATCTCAATCCTCTAGGATGCCCCAGTGCCTGCATGTGCTGCAGGGTCTGTGGGGTTCCTGGCTGAGTGCACCACTGCGCTCTGCTCGCTCCCAGGAGAGCTCCAGCTCGTACCTGCCTTTCTCCACCCAGGAACTCAGCTTTTTTAGGAAGTGCCTTTGTGAAAGCTGGTGAGTGTGTTGGGAAGGGCTCCTCCTCCTGCTTTTGGGAACTTCAGCTAAGCTTTTGGTTAAGATATCCTCATCTCTCTCACCTAGTGTGGCGGGTGGTCACTGGGAACCACCCCAATTCACCTGGGGGTGGTAAAACTGTCCTGCTCAACCAGCCCAGCATTGCCCACGCCCCAGGATCCCTCTTCCAGCTGGGCAGCCCTGCTCTGTCCCCCCTTCCCCATGCCCCAGCCCCTGCTGCTGGCACCGCTGCCTCTGCTGCTGCCCTCAGCCCCCAGTCATGCCAGGAAGGTCCCCTCAGCCCCAGTGCAGGGTTTTGGGGTGCCTGGGCGAGCCCCTCCCCACATTCACTGACGTGCCCTTTCCCAGCATGTCGGAAACGCTCCCGAGCTTTCCTTCTCTTGGCTTGTGTAAGTGAAACATTTGGTTTTGTGACACTTTCCTTAATTATGGGAGCTAATGACAAAACCATTGTGACAAATGACTCAGCTTTTGATAGTGAAGTTAATTAATTCTGAAGTTAGAGCCTCCATTGGAGTATCTGGAAAAACCCGATTAGGAAGTCTGCTTACCCAGCGTGACACGGGCAGCAGGAACCCAGTGCCTGTGACAGGCAGGTAAAACCCTCCCCACGGCTGCGAGGGACGATCCACCTGGAGCGAGGGGATTAAAGGCCAGGCATCCCAGTGCTTGCCTCCTGATCCATCCGTCCATCCATCAAAGCATCCAGGAGGACACAGCCTCATTAATGTCGGAGTGAGTGACCAGGAGCAGCTCTGCATTGGGCGCTGACCTTCAAGAGCGTCTCCCTGAAGCCATCTTTCATCTCTTTCATTTGCATTACAATCCTGTTTGCCTCATTATTCCTTATCCACTTCTTCTTCAAAGGATTTAAATCAAATCAATTAAATTGCGGTGGCTGGAGCAGCAGTGAACCTTTCCTTGTGGCTCAGCGTGGTCCAGCTGGACCTGGCTGCAGAAGGGATTTAATATTCTGCTATTTGTTCTTTTATTGCTTCTGGGGTACCACTGCCCACAGATCCCTTTGGTAATAGTCTGTCCTTCCCACCCACCCCGTGCAGACATTCTCCATGTACAGGCTGGTCTTTGTATGACCTTGGGGAAGGGATTCTCTTGGCTTCCCTCACAGAGCCTGGGATCGGAATGATGGGGAGCTGCTGACCTGCCCAGAGCAGCTGGAGGAACTCTGGGGCACTGCCATAGTGGTTGCTGTCCTGTGTCATCCTTTTGCCTCTCCTCAGCTTGTTTTGTCTGCCAGGGAACCAAAGAACTATGGAATCATTCAGGTTGGAAAAGCTCTCTAAGACCATCGAGTCCAACTGTTCCCTCGGCACTGCCAAGGCCACTACTAACCCCTGTCCCCAAGTGCCACAATGACATGACTTTTAAATCCCTCCAGGGATGGGAAATCCAGCACTTGACAACCTGTTGGTGAATCAATTGTCCCTAATACTCCATCTAAACCTCCCCTGGTGCAACTTGAGGCTGTTTCCTCTTGTCCTGTCACTTGTTACCTGGGAGAAGAGACTGACCCCCACCCGGCTACACCCTCCTGTCAGGGAGTTGTTGAGTATTGTTACAGAGGCGAAAAAAGCTGATGGAATGTCATGTGTGGGCAAATTAACGTGGATTTAGGCACGCAGCTGCTGCCAGTGTGGTCGCCCAGTCCCCGGAAGCTGCTGCTGCTGCTGGCCCACGCACGGCCACCCCTGCTCCCTCTGCATCTCAGAATAAAGAGGCTTAATCAGAATGGATTTCTGTTCCTCCCCTGCTATTTTTATTGCTACTCAACTGTCGGAAGTCCAGCAGAGAGTGTGGTGCAGGGAGGGAACTGCACCAGCTCGCACTGAGTGAACCAGCTCGTGGCACCAGCAGCAGGGCTGGTGGCACATGTGGCATCGCTGCCTTGTGTCACTCCTAGGACCCCACTGAACTCAGCAGCACATCACACGGGGAGACATCAGCCTCACCACTGGAGTCCAGTTGGAGCCAGTGGATTGCAACCAGCACTTCCAAAGCGTGTGCAGATATAAATAATCCCCTCGTAGGAGTGGGGAAGGATGAGCACATGTGCCGAAGGCTCTGGAGTCCTTATCCCCTTGCAGCCCCTGGGAGCAGGGAAATGAAGAGAAGACTAGGCAAGGCTGGAGCACCTCTCTGCATCGCTAATGACCCAAACTTGCCTTGTATCAGCCTCTCTTCCTTCAAGGAAAAACCTAATCCAGCTAGGGATTACTTCTGACTACTTACTTCCTGTCACTTTGCCAATTTAAATGCAGCAGAGCTTTCATGGCTGGATTTGGGGGACAAAGCCTAACTGATCTTGTGTTAGGACATTTTTGCCTGCAAGGACAGCCTTTTTCTTGCAAGAGTCATACAGTCTTTGCAGTGTGGGTTGGATGTTATTTGTTTCTACTTTGCCCAGTGCAGAAGGGTCCAGGAGCAGGAGCAGGTGGGTGCCGATGGATAGGGCAGGGAACAGCAAGAGGTGATGGAGCAGGAGCTGGAGGAGCCTGGAGAGTCCAGGGCAGGGTGCCAGGCTGTGACCCTGTGCACTACAGTCTGAGCTGAGAGCAGGACACCAGGGTCCCCAAATTGTTGTTCACTGCAAATCTTAGTGAACCCCTGGAGCACCCGCTCCAGACAGAGCTCCGAGCTTGCTCCTGGGGCTGACACTCCATCCGTGCAGCAGCGAGAGGGGCACAGGGCATGGCAGGGGTGTCCCCACCAACAACCCTACAAGGGCCAACACGATCTGCCATGGACTTTGCTTCTGTTTGAGCTCGCTTTGTTCAAAGCCTAGGAAACGGTACATGTGCACTCTGCTCACACCTACACACGCTGTGTTAAAATAACACAATTAAGGCTGCAAAATCCCCCACTCGCAACGCAATTTGCAGCCCCTCAGCTGTGGGTGGGAGATATCTTTGCTGCCTCTGCGCAGGCCGGGGGCCGGGCGGGGTGCTGGCGTCAGGCGCTGCCCCACGCGCTGTGGGGGTGCCGGCAGGGGGAAAGGGGGCGGCAGGATGAGGGGCGTCGTGCCATGGCTTGGGCAGAAGTCCCAGGGAAACATGGTCTCTTCCTGTGCTGTGCCCCAAGCTGCCTTCGTGGTACCCATGGGATTGTTTAGGACTTGGGGGGCTTATGGAAATGATGGAGAGTGGCTTTTCACATGGGCAGATAGCGACAGGGCAAGAGGGTGTGGTTTTAAGTTAGAAGAAGAGAGATTTAGATTAGTTATTATGAAGAAATCCTTCCCTATGAGGGTGGGCAGGCCCTGGCACAGGTTGCGCAGAGAAGCTGTGGCTGCCCCATCCCTGCAAGTGTCCAAGGCCAGGTTGGACAGGGCTTGGAGCAACCTGGGCTGGTGGAAGGTGTCCCTGCCTATGGCAGGGGATGGGACTGAATGGGCTTTAAGATTCCTTCCAACCCAAACCATTCTGAGGTTCTATGTTTCTATGAGCAGGGTCCCAGTGCAGCCACGTGCAGGGCTCATCTCGGTGTCCAGCCTGTGACACCAAGGTGTGACCTGTGACCACCGTGTGCTGCTTCAGGACCAGTCCCAGAGCTGCACAGGGATAACCCCTCCTCCAAAAATGCACAGGAAAGGTGTTTGTGTGGGTGCTGCTGACCCCAGCTCTCGTGACCCATCCACACACTCCTCAGAGGGCTGTGTCCGCCCCCAGCCCGCAGAGCACTGCCGCTCTCCGGATGGAAATGCTGAGAATCAGGAGCTGGTGCTGTGCGCCCAGAGAGCCTGGGCAGAGCTGCACCGCCTCCAGCCTGAGCTGGGAACCAGGCACGGGGCCCGTGGGGAAGCAGGGAATGAACCAGGGTGATCCACGGCCGGGAGCCAGCGGAAAGGCAGGGAGGGAACGCGGCGGGGCAGCAATCAGCATATCCTGCCTGGGGAGTAGCACAGACGGTGATTTCAGGTTGAGGAGCTACTTAATTTTCACATTCTTAATTTCTCGGTACCTTCATAATTTTCTGTTTGCCTTTTTGGAGTAAATAACTAGTAATTCCATGTGAGTGCATACAGATGAGGGCTGGGGAAGCACACACCATCGCATAAATCATTCGCTTTCCCGTCTCACCCGTGGCCCTTACAGGACTGTGAATTCAAGAGGTAAGTGTATTCTAGGGCTTGTTGGAAAGGTCGTATGAGTCATGGGCTCATCCAACCGGCTGAGGAATGTTTGAGGGAGATGAGGAGACGGTGAAGAGGAAGTGGACAGGGGGATTGACTGGTGGGAACGGTTCAGGATCGGATTGCGGGTATCAGGGATGTTCGGGCTGAATTGGTGCTTGGGTAGGGGTTAAACACGGTGTCCCCGGGGCACGGACAGCCCTGTGTCAGCGTGGGCAGGGGCTGTGCCCTCCCTGGGTCGGCTCTGTGGTTGTGTGGCCCCCAGCCCCTTGTACCAGATGCCACCCGGTGCCCGGTACCGGTGCAGCAGTTCCAGTGCTGTGCAGACTGAGGGGTGGGGGGGGGTAGGTGGGTGATTGGGGAGCCAAGTTGCCCCTTGCCGGGGGTCTGCAGCCGGTGGGTATCTGCCAGGACTGCCTGCGGCACTGACTGGGATGGGCACACCCACCCAGTCCTGTTCCCGGTCCCTTGTTACAGTCCCGATACGGTCCCAGAATCCCGGGGAGGGGTCCCTGGGGCAGTCCCGGTCACTGTCCCCGCTCAGTCCCGGCACCCAGCGGTGGGGTTCCCCCGCCCGGCCCGGGTATCCTGGGGTAGGGTCTCTCTCCCGATCCGCCGGGGCAGTCCCGGTCTCAGCATCCCGGAGTGCGGTTCCCGGAGCAGTCCCGGTCCCCGCCCAGTTCCGGCACCCCCGGGTGGGTGCCAAGTCCCGGTCCCCTCGTCCCCCTCCCCGTCGCGGTCCCCCGGCGCTGTCCCCGCCGCCGGCCGGTGGTTGCGGGCGGGGGGCAGTGTCCCGGCGGCGCAGCCCCCCGCGGGTCCTGCTCCCGCCGCCCCCGCCGCTGCCTTGGCCGGGCGGCGCGGGGGAGGCGCCGGGAGAGGCGGCGGGAGCGCACGGCGGAGCGGCTCTGCTCCGCCGGGCTGGGCTGCTGCGCTCCGCGGGCTGCGCTCGGGCCATGCCTGCCGGGCTCCCCGGGGCCGGGCCGCCCCGCTCCGCGCCGCCGCGGGGGCCCGGCGCTCCGCCGGCCGCGGGGGCATGAGGCGGCGGGCGGCGGGCGGCGGCGCCGGCCCTTCCCCTGCGAGCCGCCGCCGGAGGATGAAGCAGCATGAGGATGTGTGACAGAGGCGTCCAGATGCTCGTCACCACGGTGGGAGCCTTCGCAGCCTTCAGCCTGATGACCATCGCCGTGGGCACTGACTACTGGCTCTACTCGCGCGGCGTGTGTAGGACTAAGTCCACGAGCGACAACGACACGAGCCGCAAGAACGAGGAGGTGATGACCCACTCGGGGCTTTGGAGGACGTGCTGCCTGGAAGGTACCGACCCCCTCGGCCCCAAAACTTCGGGGGAGGGGGTGCATCGCGGGACCCCCCACCCCAGAGCCGGGTCCCCGGCCAGCGGAGCGTCCCCCGGCCAGCCGAGCATCCTCCTGCCCGGTAGCCCCGCCGCCCCCCGCTGCCGCCCTCCACTCCCTTCCCCGGGCACTGGCAGTGGCACCGCGGTGGAACCTCGCGGGGGGCTCCTCCACGCGGGTGGCGGGGGTCGGGGGGAGCGTGGCTGCGGGCTGCGGGGTCCCCCGTGCCGGGGACTGGCACTGGCGGCAGCAGCCGCGCTGTGTCTCCCCGGGGATGCTCTCGGGGAGCTTCGGGCTGAGGGGCCACAGGTCCCTCTCCCTACCAGGGCTGTGGGAGTGGGAGCAAGCAAAGCCCCGCTGCTGCTGCCTTTCTCTAAGGCTGCGCGGGCACCGTGCCCCTGTCACCGGCAACCACACACCAGGCGTTTTCATCGCCGAGCCCCAGCACCAGAACCAGCCCTTCCCATCCGAGCGGCAGAGTGGGGCAAGCTGGGCTGCTGCTGCCCCACTGCATCCTGTCCCTCCCTCCCACAGCCGGGCTGCCCCACAGCCAGACTGCCCCACCTCAGCTGCCTCATGGCTGGCTGCCCCACACGGCTGCCCCACGGCAGTTCTCTCGCCTGCCCGGCCTCTCCGCTTTGCCCCCTTGCCTCCCTCTCACAGCAGTGCTCGGCAAGGCCCTGGCAGCTGCTGCCCTCCTGCAGCACAGGCCACACTTCGGGGCAGTTTTGCCCCAAAGCTGTTGGTTGAGGTGTTTCTGAGCACCCATAGGCTGTGCTTAAAGATGAGCTTGAACGGAGCCAGGTACTGGTACCTGCGCAGCAAAAAAATGGCTGATGGCATCACTCTGGGCCCTAACTTTTAAAATTAGTGGCAGCAGTGGGTGTCCTGTGTGCTCGAGGGGACCTGCCCCACTGTCCTGTGGGGCTCCAGGGACATCAGGCTCCCCCAGCCCAGGAGTGACCGCTCCAACGGTGGGGGCAGACGAGCCACGGTGCCAAACTGCTCCTCCACGTCGGAAAGTTCTCGGTGAGTCACGGCCATAGATGCAGAAATAACCGGTCTGTTCCTGGTGCTTGGTCCTAAACCTGGTGAAGTCAGTTGGAGCTTTCTTATTGATTCAAGGATGGTTTGGATCATGCTCTAATTCTGTAATAAATAATTTGAGATAATCTGTCTCCCCTCTTGGGCTGAGGGAGCCAAGGAGGCAGGAGCCAGGGCTGTGAAAGATGGGATTGCTGGAGGCATGAGTAATTTCCAAAATTCTTGGGTTTGCTAGCTGTATTTTTTTTTTTCCAGCCAATGTTTTACGTTTCCCTCACTGTGATCAATCACTGCTTTGGAAGGAGCCGGAGAGGCCCCGCTCCCCTGGGCACAGCTCACTCGGGAAAGGGCTCGGTAGTGCCATGGCAGAGCTTGGAGCTGAATCCCAGTCCATCACCCTGAGACCAGGTGTGGGGCTGAGAGCAGCACGGGCTCACCATGGGCTCAGTGCTCCCAGCTCCACGTCCTACCCCGTGCTGGTGCCCTGGCAGCTGTGGCAGCAGTGGGAGCGGGAGCCGTGCGGTGCCACACGGCCGTCCCTGCGGCACAGCCGAGGCCTCACGCCGGACACCGGCTCCACCAGCCCCGGGGTGTGGGTGTGGGTGGCAATGGGCTGCAGGGGGCTGCAGAACCCAGTCGGTGGCAGGGCAGGGAGGGTCCCAGCTTGTGCTCTGGGGGAACACACGGGGCTGTGGTGGTGCTGGGGGGATGTGACGGGGCTGCTCGTCACCCTCCTGGATTCTGCAGGAGGAGCGCACTGGTGCCTTGCAGGCTGTTAACCGGTGCAATGCTGGGAAGGGAAAACTTGCCCAGCCAAGCTGTGCAGAGCTCATGTGCTGGCACGAGGGAAGGACCTGCAGCAGCAGGGGCTGAGGACCCCCCAGCTGGGGTGGTCATTGCAGCCAGGGGAGAGCTGGGGGCTGAGCCCTGTATCTGGTACGTGCAGCAGGTCCTGTGTGATCCCTGCTGCAGGGCCTCGCTGCCTCCTGTTCTCTGTGCACTCACTATACCGGACTTGAAAAAGGGACAGAGGCTTCACCCCCCTGTGCCAGGACCAGTCTGTTGGAGGGGCCGGTTCCTCTGCGGTGCAGAAGAAGCCCTTAGCACTGAGCAGAGCTCTCTGCCCGTCAGGAATCGCCTCTGTCTTGGACTTTCCCCCGCTAACAGGGGTTTAATGTGTGTAGGGAGGGAGGAATTAAGTGTGGGGCCACAGTGGCTCTCCCGGCTGGGCGCAGGGCAGAGCACGAAGCTGCCCGACGTGAGTGCCGGCTGCGCGCCCGTGGCAGCCGCTCTGTGCATCCGTGGCAGCCCCGGCAGCGCCTGCGTGGGAGCTGCACCACGTGAGCATCACAAGCCCATCGGCGAGAGCGGATAAATCTTGAATGAAGCCGCTGCAGACCCATGGAGAGACACCCACACTGGGAAACACAAATTAGTGGTTGACTCAATATGTGGAGCCCAGGCAGGTGTTCCCAGACTGCTGGGCTGGGATAGACTGGTTGGATTGGCAGCGTTTGGATCCTAATTATTGCTTTTACAATATGCAAATGCTTAGCAGGTGCCCGCTCATGTGTCCCACTCAGGCGTGACCAGCGCTGGTCAGTGACTGTCCCTGTTGTTGTTTCAGCATCACTGGTTTTCCTCTGTTCCTGCTTTGTCAGAAAGGAGGGATGAACACGGCACTCTGAGGAGAGAGCTGAAGTTGAGAAATAGCTGCTTAGGTTGATGGTGTTTTTTGAGAAAGTAAAAGAACTTTGGTTTTCATCAAACTTAATTAAATTCAGCATCATTAAATGCAGCATCATTAAATGCAGGGAGGCTCCATGTCCTCCCTGCTGCGTGGTGTAGATTGGGACTGGCTCCATGGCATCATGCGGATCTGAAACAGGCAGAAGGAGCAGGAGGATTTGGCCAAGGCTTCTCAAAATACTATATTTTAAGGCGATGTGGTACTTTTCCTTTCCTCCCTCATTTCCTCATCATAATAAAGTGCTCTGTCACTTCTGGAGGAGGCCAAGCGTTGCTCTGCCTGCCTCCCTCACGGAGGATGCTCGGCATCCTGCATCCTTCTGGGGTGGGATGCAGGCCGGTTTGCAGGAGACACAGACATCTCATGTCCCAGAGCTGTTCCTCAGCCAGACTGTCCCCCTTGGACCCATCCTGGCCCCTCCAGTGTCCCCTGCAGCAGCTCCAGCACAGTCTTTGCCAACTGGCAGTTCCTCCCTGCCAAGCCTGGAGAGCCTTACTTGGGGCTGGTCTTTTTGGAGGGATCCTGTCTAGACTGAAACGTAATTTTGGGGGTATCATCAGCTGACCCCACAGCCCCAGGACCCTGCCCAGTTATTTCTACACCTGCCCTGCAGCTCCTGTGTGGCTCTGGGTGTGTGGTGGGTCTGTCCTCGAGGCTGCAGCTGATGGTGATCGGCCGTGTCCCTGGTCTGATGGTTCCACCGGGAAAGGACATGGGTTCTTCCTTCGAGCATAATAAGTGAGCTCTGCTACCCCGTTGTCCCACAGCCATGCAGCTGTTTGTCATTAAGCTGGCCTGCTGTGAGCCCCCTTGGCTGCAGCCCTTCACAGCGAGTTCCCACGGTGGTGGCCCAGCCCAAGGCCCAGCCCATCCTGTGGGGCTGAGCATCACCTCCTACCCCCACCATGGAACTTGCTCTCCTAGTTCTTGGCTGTTAATCCCTGGAGCTGACTGTGTAAAGATGGCTGTTGCTGAATGAGCCCATGGTACCGAGCTGCCCAAATTTGCCTGCCTTGTTCATTAATATCCCCATCAGCCTTTTCTCTGCCATTTCCCTCTTTCACTCCCAGTTATTTCATGTTTTCTTCGATACTGCCAACAAAGATGTTGTCATAGTTCAACGCTGTTCTGGTAACAGGTGATCCTGTGCAGGAACATCTCTCGGATGACAGGGACTGTCTCTGTGAGCTCCCAGGCCCATTAACAAAGCGCTGTTGATTCTGTGTAGTACAGGTCTTTAAGTTTTTCAGGAGAGCTGAATCAAATACCCTGTGGAATTCTAAATGTATTATGTCACTGACTTCCTTTATCAAGTTAATTTGTAACCATATCAAGCAAAATTTATGGAGTTTGATAAATCTGTTTTCCACAAGGCTGTTTGACATTTTCCTCATCCACAGTTCCCACCTCTGCCAACCCACGGGCAGTGCCGGGGACACAGCTCCTGCCACTGCCCATCGCATCACTGCTGGCATTAAACCAACTTCTCCCGTCTTCTAGAAATTCAACAGAATTGCAAGGCTTATTAAAATCCATTTTAGATCTTCAGAAACCTTCTTAGCCTATTCTCTGAATGCTCCTGGGAGGAAGTTCTTTAGTCCTCCCGATTCCATGTTTACACATCGCAGTCACTGTTTAGCATCCCCCCAGCTCCTGCTGGAATACAGGAGCCTATTTGTCTCCAAGTACAGAACAGAAGTATCTAATGAATAAATAATAGTGTGTCACTTCTGCTCCATGACTGACAGTTGCCCTGTCGTGATCCAGTGGTGTTCTGCACTGTCAGGAGACCTCCTTCGAACACAATGAAAGGATTCCTCCTTGCTTTGCCTTGACGTTTTGGTTACAGGTTTATTTTATCTGATCCTGTCAGCCACATGTGTGTCTTGCTACTTCCCATATCTAAATTCCTGATTTTTAATTTTTTTTATTCAATTTTCCCTTCAGCAGGCCTAGCATAAGCATGAGGTGCAGGGAGGCACCTGCCTTTGCTCCTGGATTTTCCCCTGTTGGTTTTGTCTGGCTGGTTTTGGCTCTGCTGAGCAGAGCTGGGTCGCAGTGAAGGCATTAAGTTGGGCTGGAAGCGGCTGCCCTGGCCAGCCACCAGCTCTTCCCCCGCCTCCAGCTCCTCAGCCCTCTGAGTGAGGCCAAGCAGAGAATTTCCCCAA